AGACCAAATACACCTCAACCATGTGTCCAACCTCTGAAATAGAATCTGAGGATGAAGGAGATCTTCGCCAGAAAAGAAGGTCCAGGTACATTGTTCACTTTGGTAAAGTGATAACACTCCCTAGGGTGTTGCAACTAGAGCAGCAGTGCAATTATTTACAAGTCTTGTTAAAAGGATACCTTAAAGCTGACTGTGTCTATTCAGACTGCAGTCTTGACTAATAAGTATAGTATCATAATTACATTTGTTACATGTGTGTTGTTTGTTTGTTTAGGCCAAATCAGCAGTATGTGCACTCAGACTCAGATGACCAATCGAGTGGCAATGCCAAAAGAAAACGGTTTGCTAAACCACCTGATGTTGGTTTCCTAGGTATTGATGCAATGCATTTATTTGATCTTGGCACTCTTGTAACTCTTCATTGCTACATAGTTAAAATAAAAAAAATCATGTCTGATATTGTACCAACAAAAATTGTTCATTTTAATTTGATTGGTCTTGTAAGTTTTTTGCATTTATTCTATATAATTTTAGCCCAATACATTGTGAATAACATGCTTACTACAATGTTGTAGGACAGACCCCAAAATCAAGCCAGTCTCGTAAGGAGCCAAAATCTGGCAAGCGTCCAGTTGTGCGGCCACTAGGTCTGGAGCCTACAATGAATGGTATGTTGCTATGAATGTTAAAATGTCAACTGGATAACTGTTTAAACACAATTTGTAGCATCTTCATTTCTCACCCCGGCTTAACTTTTTTAGATTCCTTCGATGGTATGATCTACAACTATTTAGAAGATTTGCAGACTTCTGATTCAAATAACAGTAAGTGAAGCCATATTAATGTTCTTGTAAGGAACTTGCTGGCATGCATGCAACAGAAGACAATAATTTAGAATGTATATGCATTGCAAGATAAACTCCAGCTCATTACAAGAATCCAAAGCCTTAACAACTTGCAAGCAATGTCACAATAATAAATGTTTAGTTGTACATAATGCTTTTATATTTAGCACTCTATATAATGTCCACCATGTTTGAGTCACAACTTATTTTGCATTCCCCCTTCCTAGGTCTGGTTACTACCTACAATCGCTAACTGATGAAGTTTCTAATGATAAGAGTCTTGTGACGTAATATTCTGAGATGTTTAAAATATATGTATTGCCTCACATTGTTTTTATGACATTTTTATTTAAGTGATAAGGCAGTGCATTTTATCTTTATCCATTTATTTTATCCCTGAGTCAGGACAATGCATTAATCAACTGAATGGAAATCCAACATTTTCCCAAATGGGAGGTTATAATAGCGTTATTTGCTAATGGTTTCACTGCTTTGTGTATTTCCTACTGTGTGTTTCAGCTGAGATGCCAGGATTTGCTACTGCCCACTGTTCCCAGTACCAGCAGCTCCAGTCCCCACAGCATGTCCAGCATCTGCAGGATCCACAGCGACAAAGTACAGATAGTGGTATGATACTGTACTCTGTCAGTAACAGTCATGCTTTGAAAGAGGGGGATACAACTCCCTAGTGATTATGACAGTAATGATGGGAAGTTTGGTTCTTTTTCCGAGAGCCGGCTCTTGTAGAATGGCTCCCAGAGAAGAGCCGGCTCTATCGGCTCCCAAACAGCTCTTAACTTATTATCCTCTAGCCTCATATTTTATCTTGACTTGTCAAATACATATTTATTTGTTCTGTTACAAAAGAAGTCAATCTTTTAATTATTTTGTTTAATACTTTATTCAAACTTTTACTTTTTTATTAATTTAAAATGCTGAGTCCTTGAGGGGATGTTTATTTATTTACAGGCAGTGGTCTGTTATTAAGTTATTTAAATAGCTCCACCTCAACTGGTCAGATAACAACAGTGTTAAACTTCAAGATTTGCAGAAGCCTTCGAGAACTAAATTTGCKRACCTATGTCCTATGTTCTCACGATTGATCACAAAGRAAGTGAAAGGGAAAAAAATGAGGAGCTGGTTCGCACTTGATGGGAGTCAGCTTTTTTGACTGAGCATGACCCATCACTATATGYCACATTAAGTAGRTTGACTGACAATTCAGAAGTTATGTTTCTACTCCTAAGCTATAGTAAAACTTAACTACGGTAATTGTTTCTACAGGGATGTCAGGATACAGCTCAGGGCAGAACAACAGTCCCCCTGGTCTRCAACAACGTGCACAAAATGGTATTCCTCACTAAGAAACCTTTGTCAATCTAAACAGAGCTATTTGTAGACAAACTAAATTACACTGTCATGTTTTTGTAAATGTTACAAAATTTGATTTCCCCTCTAGATTTTTGAGGAAACTACCACCAGTTTYATCCAATGCAGTCAAATTATAATGAAATATATCAATGATTTTGTTTCTACAGGTATGTCGGTATACAGCTCAGGGCAGTACAACACCCCACCTGGTGTTCCACAGCATAGACAAAATGATATTGTATTTTTCACTAGGAAACCCAATTTACCACACACATGTAAAGTGATCTATTTGTAGAC